TGTGTGTGTTCGTGCGTGTGTTTGAAGCCAGATGTTGTTTTATAGTCAGGATATGACTCATAATGTGGCCTCTAATCAGTAAATTAACAGTGTGTCTGTAGGAGGGTGGAGTCCGCCCGTGTGTGTGTGAGGGTCTAAGTTTGGAAACAGTGGTGGGTGTGTGTGTGTGTGTGTGTGTGTGTTGGGGGGGGGGGGCTCTTCAGGTAAAACAAGCCTTCGCAGATCAACAAGCAGGACAAGAATGTGCCTGATTTTTTGTTTGGTGACAGGGATGAGAAATCAAAACAGACAGACACACACACACACACAGTTACCTTGGTTACAGGCCTTGCCGCTGTATCCTGGGTGACATTTACATCTGTCTGGTCTGACACACTCTCCATGTTTACAGCCCTGCTGACAGTGAGCTTCTCACAGACACAGACACAGACACAGACACACACACACACAATGTATATAAGGATGATCGGTGACAGAATATACAGATGTCCGTATATGACCTACACCACTGCCAACCATCAGGGGGCGATCCAGATTATTTGGCTTTACTTTTTGAAACCATCTTTATTAACAGTTTCCCTCTCGGAATACGATAATAAATGTTAAAATCATACGATCTGTTATAAAGTAAATCTACGTGTCCTCACGTTGACAACGTCCTCCGTCCATCTGTCTCCAGCCCCAGCAACACTCCACACTGTTGCCATAGCGACAGAGACCATTGGACAACCAGGCCTGGTCCACCCAGCTGCAACACACAATGGACAGCGATGAATATTGAAGTTTTGATGAATCAGTGCAGGCGCGTGTGAGGAGCGCGGTCATCACGTGACCTGATGTGGCGTTCAGAGCCATGTCGGTCATACTGGTTCAGACCGGCTGAGCGTTCCTCATGTCTCCTGTTTCCTCTGCCTGTCTCAACATGAAGCACCTCAGCCGCAGGACGACAGCAGACTCGGGTACTCGTCTTCTTTTTCCACTCCCCCCACATACTTTCCCTCCTTCCAACTCTTCAGTCTGTCGTTCTTCATCTTCAGTTAAACGTCAACACTGCTCTGCTGTTTTCTGTCACGCACTTTATCACACACACTCTGTCTTCAGGCAGTATAACCTTTTTTATGAATGAGCACTGCACTCCAGTTTTTCTGACCTCTTCTGAAATATGCTCGATGACACAACTGTCGCCTTATTTACGATTAATAATCAACTAAATCTACTCTAATCTTCATCATCAGTTTAAAAAGTCCCATCTGAAACAGAATCACTGCTTGTTCACGTGCTTCTTAAAAACATGGATGCTGTAACGATGCGTTTAAACAACACCTTGACTTCACTTTTTATTTACATCATAACAAAGAGGAAAGAAAAAGGATCTGATCAGTCAGGAACTCATTTTTCTGATTATTTTGCACATTGAGTTTGAATAAAAACTCTTGAGACATCTGAAGATACAAAGACACAGCGATGGAATAAAAATATAACATGTATTTAAGTCTGCTGGTCTAAAAATGAACATTAGTTATTCAGTGATTTAAAAATAAAGCAGGTTGATGATGAAAATGTATATTTGAAACTTTAGAAACATTTGTGAAGAATTAAAATGTCTAAAATCATCATTGTTAATACTTAAACACTTTAATTATAAAGCACTTTATGATCAAACTTTATTTGAAGAGATGAATAAAGAGGAGCTGTTTTCTGACCTGTTAGAATCCAGCAGCTGAGCTCTGCTCCATGTTAACAACCAGGACAGAAGAACCAGGCTGACCCGGGTTATCATCTTCAACTTCCACCCGGGACACACGCAGGTGAGAGAGGAGGACCAATCAGAGTCCAGCCCGTCAGGTCCCGGTACCGGACAGAAAAACTACCGGTCACCGGAAAGACCCGACATGAAGAGTCACGCGCGGTTTAGCTTCCCCGATTCCGTTAGAGATGACGTCACGCACGAAGCTTCGCTCGCGGGTTCTGACGTTAAAAGACGCGCGACGTTAAAACAAAGAAAATAAACAAAACCGCGTGCTCGTCCCCGAGAGGAGAGCGCGTTTCAGAAGGAGGGAGTTCTCGGAGGGTTGTCCTCGTGCACGATGTGATCGGTCGAGAGAGGGAGGGAGGGAGGAAGAGAGAGAGAGAGAGCCCGAGAGAGGACAGAGGAAGAGAGAGAGAGATGAAGAGAGACAGAGGGAGAGAGAGAGA